AACGAAAAAGTAGGAAAAGAGGCAGAGAGAAACCGAGGGAAACGATGATCCGTTCAACTCGCGCGATTCCACCCCGTGACTTTGACTATACGCGAATGCACCGTTCGCGAAACGAACCCTGCCAGACAAGAGCGAACGATCGTTTTCGGCTGTCATCCCCACGAATCGCTGAACATCGTTCTCGACCGATTCGGTTAAAGATCGTCGAAGAGTTAGCTTCACCCGTGCGAACCTCCTTTTAACGGCCGTTAGCGCAACGACCCGCGGAATAAGCTACCGTACGAAAGAAACGAGTCACGATCGGCTCGTTACCGCCGCGGCGGCGAATCCCCTCGATATCGCGAATCATGAAATCACGAAGTACGAAAATCATCTGCTTCTCGGAACGAGCCAGTCTTACTTTCCTTTCTGCCCCTTCTCCTCTGTCGTTGTTCTGGTCGAGCTCCGGCCGTTGGACCACGCGTCTAAATCGTTTCTCGGAGTGCACGGCATGGAACTCGAGTAGCACGACTCGCGCTCCGTCGAGTGCGTTCGCAAACGTTCGCTTCAAAGTTTCCTGCGAGCTCGAGGGGGAACAACCCTTCGGTACTCGCGTTTATTGCGCGCACAATAAAATCTACGGTTATCTTTCTAATACCGGCTACAACCTAATTTCGAAGGAACAGAGAGCGCGTCGAATGGGGCCGAACCCCGGGCGGCCAATTCGGACGATCGGAAATGAAATTTCGATCGACGAAAGGGCCTCGTCACCGCCCGGAGAAATCTAACCCGTAATTCGCGTTAGGCATCAATTTTTGCGCCGCAAGCCACGGAGATCCGACCGACCGCGTCGCGAATCTCGCTGGTCCTATCTCGAGTGCCGCGAGACCGATTTGGAAAATTTTCGGCCGAGATTAGAAGAAAGCACGCGTTTCGACGAAAAAGATGTAGCCCAGAGAACGCTATCGAGATCGGCACTTTCGCGTAGCGAACCGGAGCTGCCTGTAACGCTCGGTGAAACGAGTCTCGACGGGGGGGCAGATCCGCGGGTGGTCGAAACCCCGGTGGATAAGAGGAAAACCCGATTATTCGGTTTAAGAGTCGGATCGCGACTCGCGCGAGCGAGAGTCGAGCAGAACGTCGAAACTCGTTCCGTCCGGCGACCACCGCTTTCCGTCCTGTCGACCGTACGGAATCTCGTCGGTGCAACCGACGATAAATCGAATTCGCGACGCGGCGAAAGAACAAACGTATCTCGATTAGACGGATCGATGGTCCGTCGGTGTAACGGCGGTCAGAGAATGGCGCGAGGGAGACCGAAACCGGACGAGACGAGTCGGGAGACGCGTAATCGTCCGGAAACCGAGCTTTGCGGTTCACTTTGGGCTCGCCGAGTCGTGAAAACCGCGCGACCAGAAGCTCTCAGAAGGGGTCGAAAATTCGCGCCTTCGCAAATCGTCCGATCGCGGTCCGCGGTCGCGTCCGACCGCCTAAAGTCGTCGTGTCGCGTCACCGAGCGCGACGTTACGCAAACCATCGTACTTCCTATTACTATTTACATACAATCGAATCCATCGCGCATACATTATCATAGCTGCGCAAATGGGTCGTGTACGAGCAAGGCTAACGAATGCGTTATATAAAATACTAACGCGGTGATGGTATCGTCGCGATTCCAAGAAACGGAGCAACGGTCGACAGGTGGATTTCCGCGAATCGAGCGACGGGCCGAACAGGAGGGTCGCGACGGGGTACATAAATATTAATATAATAGCGCTGATTGCGCTAGATCGCGACGAGAGGGCGAGCACGAGGAGCGGGAGAACAACGCGTCGCAAATAACGCGCGTCGCGACCAGAGACGCGAGGCGAGAAACGAGGGGTTATCGGGGCGAAGAGGAACCGACGAGGGGTGGTTCTCGGTTATGTCGGTTATGTCGGTAGCGCGGTGACATATCCGAGAGCAACGACGCGATGACGCGTACGCGAGCGTTTCACAGCGAACAGCGAAACAGCGAAAGCAGCGGGCGAACTGGGATATCGGAGGGCTACACGGTTCCACAGAGAGAGAGAGAGAGGGAAAAGAAGACGAGCAGCCACGGGACGAAAACGAGAACGAGAAGGAACGAAGAAACGGACAAACGGTTCGAAGAGAGAAAGAGAGAGAGAGAAAGAGAGAGAAAGAGAGCAAGGGGGAAAGCGGGTGCGAACGCGTTCCACCTCGAGCGTCAGGAGGTTTTCCGGGGGCGAGGGTGGCACCACGGGCATTAAATATACACGCTGATTTGTCGTCCGCGGATTGTCACCTCTGATAGCTTTCATTTTGTTGTATATCGGTGGCGGCCGCGTTCGCCCCGTTCGCGCTCCACGCTTTTCGACGTAATTCGGCCCGCTTGATTGACTTTTGAGCCGGCCTTTATGGCGATATTCGTTGCGCGATACCCCTCGCCGCCCTGCTACCCCACCTAGACGCCTCTAGTAGATTTATCGGACAACGAACGCGCGTATCCTGCCGGTTTTTCGTTCGGTCCTAGCCCGTCAACGAAACCGTCACCGGCTGCCTGGCCTTTTCGTCGCACCTCGAGGCTGCTTCCTCGTTTCCGATCATCGCGTCCCTTTTGACGGCTACCGGACCGTTTCCAACGTGTTCGCGTCAACCGGATTCGGACAAAAGGACATCGAACGCGATGCGTTTCTCTATGATTTGTCGTCGCTCTCCGCTCTCGATGGAACGATCGCGAAACCTTGCTTTTTCGTGCCGACCAACCCGAGAACGAGTACCTTATCGCTGGCCGGCTTTCGAGAGTCTACTTGACGTTGTTTTATCAACATCCTCGTGTTCGCCGCGAATTTCAATAATAACGCGCGATATCGAGCATTTGTTTCGACTCGTTGGAATTCCGCCGTGGTATTGTCCAGCCACGAAAACAACGTTCCCTCCCTGCTCGCTACGTTGAACGGCTTTCTTCGTTTCGCGGAAATTCCAAGCGGGCTTGTCGCCCTGTTCGGTCACTCTCGGAGAAACGCGCGGAACGATTGGAATCGAAATCGGCGATAGATAACGCGAAAGAGTTTGGATGCGCCGTTTCGACGGTGCATCGAAGAAAGCGCGATCGAAACGGGGTCAACGAGGCAGGCGACAGGAACGGAGGTGAACGGCACAAAAGGGTCCTCGGGGTCTCGCGAACGGTCTCGCGATAACGTTACGTGGCGGTTATTGGAAATAGTCTGGTCGATCTACCCCACCGTGAAATACACACAGCTCGGCAAGCCTACGTCATACCTTGGCGTATGTACATTATTCATAGCCATCGGTGAAAAGGGCGCCAGCCGTATTACGTATGCCACGGGTTATTATGCCCTCTAAATGTTTAATGTGTTTGCCTTCCTTCTCCGGCCACCGACACGACTTTATGTTTTACTAACTAAATTACTATTTTTTTTCTCCTTTCTTTTACTTTTTATTAGTCCTTCACCATTTATGTTGGTTCAATCGATTCGTCGCTCCCTTTCCTCTTCACCCTCGTTTGCGCTTCTCTTCTTCCGACACCCTCTGTTCCTCCGATTCTTTCCGCCGCCGCGGCCGTCCCCTTTCTCTCTTTCTTTCTCTCTCTTCCTCTCCGTCGCGCGTGCCTACTTCTCTGGATATCGTAAATTTTTACACGCCATTCCTCGCGAATGTTTAATCGCGTCCTACCTCCGCCTCTCCCTGTCTCCTGTTTGCTTTTGCCACACCGAACTTTGCGTCAACCCTTTCGTCGACTATAGTCATCTGCCGCTAAACGCTCGCGTTTCCCAGAGCGTCGACTCTCTTTTTATCGCGCGATGTAATATTTAACGTCTCCGCCGCGAGTCGCGAACGAAACGCATCGGCGCCGTCTAAAAACTGGAGGGAGCGATCCAAAACCATCGAGGTGGTCGCGACTTCAGCGCGTTTCAATGACGGGTATTATTCGAAAAGAGGCAAAACGGTTCGCCCGTGAACCGTCGCAAAGACAACGTTAACGAGAAAAGCACGAAAACGGGAAAAAGGCGAGAGGCGCGCGGCGGAGATAACTGACGAGAACGGAAGCAATTTGGAGAGATGAAAAATTACGGCGGCTAGGTGAGCCAAGCAAGGAGTTTGGTTGTTTACAGGATTAATATCCGACGAGCGTTCGTTCCTTGAGCCGGAGAATACGATGGAGGGGATGACCGGGGTGTCGTTAAAACCGCGAGAGCGCTAAAACGCGCAACACCGAAACGCGAAACCCGCCGGAAACTTTGGAATTTACTGCCCGACATATTGGCTGCGAAAGCACACGAAATTAAGGCTAGTAAAACACTTTCCTGACACCTACCGCGTCTCTCCCCCTCGGCCTACCCTCGACGCCCTACAAATCCTGCACCCCTCGCTTCTCTTCGACGCCCTTCCGTTTTGCGTTCGTTCAACGCCAACACGAAATATCTCCTTCTTTTCTCCTTTCGTTACGATCTAATTCCGCTAATTGATCGATCGGACCGAACTCGTCCGACCTTCTCGATACGGCATAGCGTCTTTACGTAAACGTGACTTAGATATTTACGATTCAGATGCCTTCGTACGCAACAACCTCTTACTTCTCGACCGGTCGAATTCGTCGACACCGTTCTTACGTTTTCGATAACTAAATTTTTTAACGAGTCGCTGACGCCAGCTATTTTTTTAGCGTCCCAATTGTCCGCGAATCAACTTTGCAGCTCTTTTATTTAATAATCTACTAAATTAAGCGATCGATCTGCTTTTCGAATCAGCGTTCACCTCTTTTCGAACGCGCCCGGGAATCGTCTGGACGGAGTTCCAACGAAACCACAACCGCCATCTGTCGAGCGAGTCGCGCTCTTGACTACCATCGATAATGCAGACGACTGGCTCGCTTTTTACCCGCGGTTTTGTTTTCGTTGATCGGTAAACGAGCGCGTTTGAAAATACCGGCGAGGAAGAAAACAACGGGAGGGAAATAAATGGATGGTGATAAGAACAAAAAAAATTAACAAACTTACCAAAGCGACGAATGAAAAATAAACGGGGGGGATACGGGAGTAGTAACTGCAACAAATGAAAAAAAGTGCACTTCAAATCGATTGTAGATGGCATCGTGAACATTTTCTGTTTTCTTTTTTTTCAATAAATACAAAATGTTCGTTTGCTGTGTATCATTGCTTTTATTCCATTTAATGATTCATAACAATTTACAAATTCCACTGAAAGATAAAGTTACGCGTGACAAGAGATTTCGTTCCCTTATAAAATAGTGTATCCCTGCGAATAATTTAAAATATAAATTAACGCGACACGAACGGCCGTTATAATTTTCGCCTCCTAGCTTAAACTACGTCCTGAGTGTCGAAAATTGTTTAAACTTTTCGTCGGAACGAAGAAACGTGCCGACAGTCGATGAGTCGTCGTTAACGCGTTTCGAAATTAAAGATCTAAAAACGTTGCGTCAGGGATCGCTCGTGAGTAGCCGTTCGTCGTCGACGAGTTATAAACAAATTAGTCACCTTCAAATTTGGAAAGATCAAGTTTATACACGACTTGCGCTACACAACCACTTGTGGATCATAGACACGAGAGATGCGTGTGCGAACGTTAACGAACGCGGTTTCTTTTTGGTGCACGATCGCGTGCCACGGTTTCGAACGTTGAAAAATACCGCTGCGACTCGACACGAGATAATCGAGGAAAAAATGAGACCGGGCGAGCTTAAACGGATGCGAATTTTTACAGAGATTTCGACCGAAATCCGAGTGTCAACGCCATGTCAAGTTTTGAGCAGCGTTGCTCGCCGAAAGTAAAAAGAAATCGACGATCTTACCAAAACTGTTCAAAGAGGGGATTACGGCCTCCTCGCAATGACTTCCGATGAAAATTTCACGAGGAAAAACAACACAAAATTCACAAAATACTCCGAAGCTAGCGGCGAGATGTTTCGTGCGGACAACTGCATGTATGTACACACAATCGACGGTGCTGCTGTGCTCCAACCGCGTCGACTATTCGAAACGTCTTCGTTACCGCGCTATTTCGAATCGCTTTACGAATCTTTCGAAGGAAACAGCTTTTCTAAGGATTTCCTTAACTAACTTTGCTCGTTCTGGAGAGACAGAAAACTTAACCGATAAAAAGATGAATAGAATGGTCGCTATATTTCTTGTAAAACAAAGCGAGCGATTTCTACCCCTCCTCTTTGCTTCCATCCCTCTTCACGAGGTATGGATTAACAGGGATGCAACTAGAAGAAAGGAAACGAGCGCGTTTGAAAATACCGGCGAGGAAGAAAACAACGGGAGGGAAATAAATGGATGGTGATAAGAACAAAAAAAATTAACAAACTTACCAAAGCGACGAATGAAAAATAAACGGGGGGGATACGGGAGTAGTAACTGCAACAAATGAAAAAAAGTGCACTTCAAATCGATTGTAGATGGCATCGTGAACATTTTCTGTTTTCTTTTTTTTCAATAAATACAAAATGTTCGTTTGCTGTGTATCATTGCTTTTATTCCATTTAATGATTCATAACAATTTACAAATTCCACTGAAAGATAAAGTTACGCGTGACAAGAGATTTCGTTCCCTTATAAAATAGTGTATCCCTGCGAATAATTTAAAATATAAATTAACGCGACACGAACGGCCGTTATAATTTTCGCCTCCTAGCTTAAACTACGTCCTGAGTGTCGAAAATTGTTTAAACTTTTCGTCGGAACGAAGAAACGTGCCGACAGTCGATGAGTCGTCGTTAACGCGTTTCGAAATTAAAGATCTAAAAACGTTGCGTCAGGGATCGCTCGTGAGTAGCCGTTCGTCGTCGACGAGTTATAAACAAATTAGTCACCTTCAAATTTGGAAAGATCAAGTTTATACACGACTTGCGCTACACAACCACTTGTGGATCATAGACACGAGAGATGCGTGTGCGAACGTTAACGAACGCGGTTTCTTTTTGGTGCACGATCGCGTGCCACGGTTTCGAACGTTGAAAAATACCGCTGCGACTCGACACGAGATAATCGAGGAAAAAATGAGACCGGGCGAGCTTAAACGGATGCGAATTTTTACAGAGATTTCGACCGAAATCCGAGTGTCAACGCCATGTCAAGTTTTGAGCAGCGTTGCTCGCCGAAAGTAAAAAGAAATCGACGATCTTACCAAAACTGTTCAAAGAGGGGATTACGGCCTCCTCGCAATGACTTCCGATGAAAATTTCACGAGGAAAAACAACACAAAATTCACAAAATACTCCGAAGCTAGCGGCGAGATGTTTCGTGCGGACAACTGCATGTATGTACACACAATCGACGGTGCTGCTGTGCTCCAACCGCGTCGACTATTCGAAACGTCTTCGTTACCGCGCTATTTCGAATCGCTTTACGAATCTTTCGAAGGAAACAGCTTTTCTAAGGATTTCCTTAACTAACTTTGCTCGTTCTGGAGAGACAGAAAACTTAACCGATAAAAAGATGAATAGAATGGTCGCTATATTTCTTGTAAAACAAAGCGAGCGATTTCTACCCCTCCTCTTTGCTTCCATCCCTCTTCACGAGGTATGGATTAACAGGGATGCAACTAGAAGAAAGGGTGGGGGAAAAAGTACAGACACCAAGAGTAAAGGAGAAAGACATAGAAATTTCTTTAATAAAGAAACAAAATTCCTGCAAGAACGAAAGTGTGAAGCAGAGAGTAGCGAAACGGAATAAACGATACGTCGAAAGAGAACTAAAGAAGGACGATGAATCGCGGCGGGTTTAGGAAGCAGGTTAGAAGGGAGGGGGAGAAATCTCTGCCGTCGACAGTGGAGGAAACAGTGCTGCCTTTAAAGATGGCTTCCCGAGGAAACGCCGCGCGTCTCGACTAGGCAGAAAAATGCTCGAAAACCCGTACGAAATCGTGTAACGCGGTGGTCGAGGAAATACTCGATACGTTCGTTCGGTGAGTCGGCAGGAGGATACGTTCGGTGTCGGAAAGTGTTGGATCGATCGAAGGAACGGCGAAATCGGCGAAGATGCGAGAGCAGGCGAATCTAGCGGTGGTCGTTCTACCCCGTGTCGAGTGACGGTGGCTTACGTAACGGATCGTTCTCGCGATGATAACGATACTCCAGTCGCGTACGCGAACGCGAAACGAGAAACTGTTTTACCGGGTTATTCGTGGCGCTGCGCACGAATACGCTAGAAATACGCATCGCGACTGACCTGAATTTTCTCAGTTCTCGTTTCGATATCGTCGTATCACGCCACTGTTCGCCACCGAACACCCCGTCACACGTCGCGCGTCGCCTTCTTTTCCAGTCACGCTGGAAAAGCATATCGAAACTGGTCGAACTAAATTATGACAACAGCGCTCGTCATGGAAAACGCGAATTGGGATGCTGGTGAGTAAACGCGACCGATCGTTTGTTTTCGTTTGTCCTCGTTCTTCTTTCGCCTTGTGCTTGTTGGTCGCTAGCGACGCGGCCAACGTCATCGGTCACCGATTTTAAAAACAGTGCTTCGAACGCGTTCCCGAATCTCTACACTTTTTTGCGGCTCGATCGAACGCTTTGGAAAAATAGCGATGCACTCGCGTACGAGCGTCGCGCGCGTCTATTTTTATCTGCTATCAAGTTTTTCAGCGAAACACCACAGTCAACTTTGCGCTATTATTAAAACGAAAATGCACGCTCGCGGGTTACTCGCACCTCTGATCGCGGTAAAAATCGTTCGCGACACTAGCGTCGATTAGCTTTCCCGACGGAAATCGAACGTCGTTCTAACGTTTCGTAGGAAATTAATTTATCGATCAGAAGTTAAACGCGTCGTCGTGGTCGCGAACCGAACGTTTCCGAGCCGAAACAACGACCAACTTTCTATCTGGTCATCGTTGTTTCGAAGACGTAACAATGACCGATTTGATCGATCGATTAACGATCCGTTATCGTTGTTTTTAGCGCTGTCCAAGCTGCTGAACTCTCTGCAGGAGAACAAGAATGAAATACCGAGCTGCACCGACGAGGAATTTGGATTCCTCAGCGAATTGTTGCAGTCGAAGGAACTGAACGCGTTGGTAAACGTGCACAATAAGATACTGAACAACGTCAAGGACGATAAGTTCTTCCCGGTACTCTCCAACTCCATGGACATCGACATCGAGGTTTTGAACTTGTTGGCGACCAAGGTACACATCTCGAAGGAGTGCAAAGAGCTTTTTCATCTTCTTCAAAAGCCGCATATACAGGTGAACGACGCGTCGCTCGTTTTACGATAAATAGCTGGCCGGTAAGAAGCGCGTCGATCGGAGAACGAATCGAGAGAATTTGTTATCGTCGTAGGGATTGTTGTGCGCTCACGATGCGGTCGCGCAAAAGGACTACTATCCCAGATTGCCGGAAATCCCGCTGGAAGTCGACGAAGACGAGGAGACCGTAAAGATCGTGCAGCTGGTGAAATCGAACGAACCTTTGGTACGTCAGAAAGCTCGCGCGTTCGGTGCTCGGAGTGTCGTACAAGTTGAACTTTCCGGTCGATTAACACGATAAAGACACGGAGAGTTTGCCGAGCTCGATTCGTCGCGGCGTCGCGTCGGTAAACGTAGCACGAATTCGTACTTGCGAACCGAAAGAGCGACATAGATGTAACCAGTGACGGCGTTATTTATGCCTACTTGCATGGAATTTGATCGTAATTAATCCTTTGTATCGGGCGTAGACGCCTCGTGTGTTCCCGTAATAAGTAATCGTAGCATCGAATACGTATTCTCACGTATATTTCTTAAGTAATCACGTGTTTCTTTCATCGTCAAACTTGCTTCGAAGTGTGGCGCTGGCGTTGAACCGATCGTGGTAAGTCGACTTGAAGCCGAATTTAATGTACAGGCTTGTAAAACGTTATCGTGCGTATCATCGATTCTTAGTACAATTTTGTAGTTGTTTTGCTTGCGTCATTTTTCCGTTTCGTTATATTCCGTTTCATTTTGTTTCGTTCGACTGAATGTCTAGCCGTTAGAACCTCTACTTTCGTTCTTACTTCGCGATTTCTGTAACGAGAACGTGGACAACACGAGCTGTATATAGTACGCTGATCGTTTTCCTCTTGGCTAATTTTTTATATTCGTTACGCTTACGTCTTACTTTTTACACTCTTTGCGTCCGTTTCAATCCTCATTGATTTGTGTTTTTTTCTGTTTGCGAGTTTTGCTTGTAAATAAAACGATTTCTCTATCGTAACGATCGTATCCTGTGTTATTGTCCCGCATGTCCTCGCGTGAGCGTTCAAAATTTCTCGAGATAAAGTTCGCGACGCCACGTTCTCTCGATATTATCTCGAGGGATTTAAGGATCGCGTGGCGGACGCTACGAACAACGAAGAAGACGACGTTGTTACGCTTCGATCGAGCGTGTGTTGAACATCTTCGCGATGAATTCTCTTTCTTTTTATTTATTTTTTAAGAAAAACGAAGGCGCTCCCTAACGCGCGCACCTCGCAACCGCAATGAAAATATTAGTTTACACGTTGACAATAGGGGGCGACCATAAAAACGTGCGAGGTCACGGGCAAGATCGTGATAGCGCGAATAATGCATGGCGGTGCGGCCGATAGATCCGGCCTCATTCACGTTGGCGACGAGGTTTGCGAGGTCAACGGCATCAGCGTCGAAGGAAAAACTCCGAACTGTGTTCTCAAGATATTGGTAGGTCACGGCTCGCATGGAATTTGATCGTAATTAATCCTTTGTATCGGGCGTAGACGCCTCGTGTGTTCCCGTAATAAGTAATCGTAGCATCGAATACGTATTCTCACGTATATTTCTTAAGTAATCACGTGTTTCTTTCATCGTCAAACTTGCTTCGAAGTGTGGCGCTGGCGTTGAACCGATCGTGGTAAGTCGACTTGAAGCCGAATTTAATGTACAGGCTTGTAAAACGTTATCGTGCGTATCATCGATTCTTAGTACAATTTTGTAGTTGTTTTGCTTGCGTCATTTTTCCGTTTCGTTATATTCCGTTTCATTTTGTTTCGTTCGACTGAATGTCTAGCCGTTAGAACCTCTACTTTCGTTCTTACTTCGCGATTTCTGTAACGAGAACGTGGACAACACGAGCTGTATATAGTACGCTGATCGTTTTCCTCTTGGCTAATTTTTTATATTCGTTACGCTTACGTCTTACTTTTTACACTCTTTGCGTCCGTTTCAATCCTCATTGATTTGTGTTTTTTTCTGTTTGCGAGTTTTGCTTGTAAATAAAACGATTTCTCTATCGTAACGATCGTATCCTGTGTTATTGTCCCGCATGTCCTCGCGTGAGCGTTCAAAATTTCTCGAGATAAAGTTCGCGACGCCACGTTCTCTCGATATTATCTCGAGGGATTTAAGGATCGCGTGGCGGACGCTACGAACAACGAAGAAGACGACGTTGTTACGCTTCGATCGAGCGTGTGTTGAACATCTTCGCGATGAATTCTCTTTCTTTTTATTTATTTTTTAAGAAAAACGAAGGCGCTCCCTAACGCGCGCACCTCGCAACCGCAATGAAAATATTAGTTTACACGTTGACAATAGGGGGCGACCATAAAAACGTGCGAGGTCACGGGCAAGATCGTGATAGCGCGAATAATGCATGGCGGTGCGGCCGATAGATCCGGCCTCATTCACGTTGGCGACGAGGTTTGCGAGGTCAACGGCATCAGCGTCGAAGGAAAAACTCCGAACTGTGTTCTCAAGATATTGGTAGGTCACGGCTCGCCTTTTATCCACGCGCCGAGTCTCGAATCGATCCGTCATAGACGTTCCCGATTCGCGATCGGCGCTCGTCCTCGCGAACCACCGTAAAACTTCTTCGTATTTTTCAGCAAAATTCCGAGGGTACGATCACGTTTAAAATAGTTCCAGCCGACAGTAAAGGAGGCATTCGAGAGAGCAAGGTACGTTTCGTAGCGGCGAAGCAATTTTCGTCGTTTCATACACGTATATATGTATACACATATCGCGCGGATAACTTTTATTCGGAGCTTCGCGCTTCGAAAACTTTTCCAATTTGGGCAAAAGTCAGGCAAAGCTTCGCGAAGTAAGATCCGAAAGTTTGAAAGCGTGTTTGCGCGTTAGGTACGAGTGAGGGCTCACTTTTCGTACAAGGCCTCCGACGATCCGTACATACCTTGCAAAGAAGCTGGACTAGACTTTTCGAAAGGCGACGTCCTTCACATCGTCAGTCAGGACGACGCTTATTGGTACGAATTGTTTGTCTCACCGAGAAACCTCTCAGTTCTCCTGTCAAGTATGTCCGTTTGAAATTAGGTGGCAAGCGAGAAGAGAAGGCGACCGAAATATGAGAGCCGGTTTGATACCCAGCCGAGCTCTACAGGAGCGACGAATTATTCTGGAGAGACAGCAAAAGGAGAAGACCGACGACGACAGTATAAGTAAGTGAGCAGATCCGCGATCGGTTTGTTCGTCCGCTTATTCCGCTAATTACGTTTCATTGTCTATCGTCTCAGCGAATTCGTCATAATCTCGCAGTCGCTTTACGAGTCTAACTGTAGAGGGCCACGCAGTAATGCTGAGCAAAGATCGATCTCGCTTATAACCCGATCGATCGGTCACGGCTGCTATTCTCAACGGATGATGGCCTGACGACCTAACCGTCGGTTAGGCTTGTGTTCTGTTCCAGTGCCTTTGCCCGCATTGTGCCCCCGTCCCAGTACCTCTTTGCACGCCTCGCCCACAAAGTGCAACTTGCAGGGAGTAAAAACTAAAAAAATCATGTATGACGCTGCAGAGAACGACGACTTTGACCGGGAAGAAATTCCGACCTACGAAGAAGTAGCGAAGCTCTATCCGAGGCCGGGTCTCTATCGACCGGTGGTTCTGATCGGGCCACCGGGAGTCGGCAGGAACGAGCTGAAGAGG